GATACATACGTGTAGTGGAATAGTAAAGCATGTTTGTATTATTAAGCATGTTTGCATTATTTGTAAATTTTTCATGAGCCATACATACCCCCTTTCCCCCTATGAGTAACCATATATCCCACCCCTATGAGATATGTGGCAAAAATACAAGAGAAGAAGAAAGAAAGGTTTCAAAAAGTTTATTTTTTAATATGAAAAATAAATATTTCGGATTTCTAATATTTTTTTCATAATAGTAGACAATACAAAGTTTTTACTGATATAGTTCGTTTATTATAAACATAGTAAATAATACTTAATAAATTAAGTTTTTGATAGGTGCGGCGTATATACCGGAGTTACCCTACACATATGATTCTGCAAACTGCGCGCCGAAATCTTTTTCAATCTTGAAACGCAATTGTAAGTAGAATCAGAGTATTAAAATCATTTATTAAATTGACAAACAATTTAATAATTTTTAAATAAGTATTTTTATAAGAATATTAATAATTAGATGTTAATGAGAATCTTACACATCTGCAAATAATATTAATATTCTCAGATTAAGAAAAATATTTAACTTTTAAATTTCTTTTTGGAAATTAAAAATACTTTTATCATTTCCAAGATAATTATCGGTTTGATTTGACTACTTTTGCATGACATTGATACAAATTTTTTTACCACCGTGAACTGTATCAGAGTCGACGTTGATTAGTTTAAACTGTTTAAAATGTCGCCAGTTGCGTCTCGCACGGTATACCGGTGGGGAAAACATCACGGTTGTATACAAGATGAGAGAAGACGACAAGTCGGCTTGACAGCTGGCGGTGACGAGAGATCCGGTTCACACGACGTTTCGAATCTCCCTTCTTCCTCTCGTCTTTCAGAAGTTTCGCGAAGAAAGGCGTAGTCTTCTTATCATTTTTCTCGCGCTTTTGTTTATCCGTTGCACAAATGCACTCTGAAACGCAACTTTTTTCCTCCGTATCCTTCTATGTATCACGACAGACACTCGTACATCTCTGTAATTGTGGCGTTCACAGATGTGAATCAGTATTGCTAGTTTAGTGTAGAAGTAACAGAGCTCTGTGTCCATTCATTCCTCTTCTTTGATGACCCACATTCGCAGAAGTATTACACATCCTCTTTTGCATTCTTCCTTTTTCCTGTCGCGATCAGTCTTGCTATTAATTATCCTTGTCACATTTGTCATTAAGCATATCATTGTAAAATTATGTAAAATTCCGATTATGTAAAATTCGGAGAATTTCAGATTTCAAATAGGGAAAATTAAGATTCTCGAAAATTGAAAAAGTACCAAGAGAAATATAATTAGCAAGCAAGTTGCCCTGTCTAAAATTTCAAGAATTTTTTTAAGAATTCTAAAAATGGCGATTCCGAAAATTTGGTATTTTGAACTGCAAAAATCTAAATATTTTGAAGATCAATAAAGTATTATGAAATATAATTAGAAATAATATAAAATAGTACACAATTCCAAGCATTTCAATTTATTATTTCTTTATTTAAAAAAATTTTTTTTTCCTTTTATTTATGTTACAAGCAGGAATATTATAATAATAAATTATAATATCATAATAAATTATTATTTACATTACAGATTATAAATTTTTGCGTAAATCATAAATTTTTTCTTCGTTTCTTGGACACCTTTCGCGATAGATTAAATTCCTATTTTGATTCTTGCTGGCTTTTTTTCTCACGCGAACCAATCGGCGCGCAAGTCAAGGAGGAAATAGACTATCGTCTATTTCCTCCTTGACTTGCATGCCGATTGGTTCGCGTGACGACGGGCGTCCCGACGCTTTGCGTCGACGTTAGATTCCATTTACCCTTCCGCTCGCGGCGTCGTGGTGCTCCTTTTCGCGGCACGTCCGTCGCTCTCGTCTACGTGTAACTTGACAGCCATAAAGACGGGCCGCTTCACCGACATCTGGCCTGACGCGTGCACTTTGTAGTCTCCTACCTATGCGTAAAAGGAGTCTCACGTCATCGTCAGCCTTTGCCGACGCACGGGGATTGACAGGGCGAATCGTTGACATCCTTCTAGGAGTCCCCGCAAAAGATATACAGAGTGTTTCAAAACGTTGTGCTCTGCTTTTGCCCTCGACCCTGAATTCAAACTCGATTTTTTCTCTACATTAAAAAGAATAGTTTTACCAAGATATCTAAAAATTTAGTTAAATCTAAAAATAAATTTTGAATGTCAAAATAATTATATAGGACACTCAAAGTGGTTACTGGAATGTTAACATTTTTTGAAGTATTACTCATCAATGTTTTCTACGTAATTATTGTGATGGTTTAGCAAAATTATTTGTAGATCTGTATCTGCCTAAATTTTTAGATATTTTAACAAAATTCTTTCTGTGCATAAGAATTTTTGAAAAAGTTCTTAAAAGTATAAGAAAAAGATACGCCATTCTATAAAGATCAAAGTGCCTAGAAAAAATTAAGCTAATTATTTATGTCTTTATTTTTTAATCTTTTTGTTAAAAATTAATTAATTCCAATATCCATACAATTTAATTAATATGCAATGTTCAATTGATTTAAAAAATATAATTTTAATAAATGAATAGGAAAAAGAAAAACTTAAATGTTTTATAAATAAATCTCTGACTTCAAAAACCAATATAATTTTAGAAAATTAAGTTTTCATATCGATATCATTCAATTCACCTATTTTTTACAGAGTTAAAGAACCGGATGGTTGTTTTCGAGGATCGGTGAGGGCGGTTCTTTTGAAGTTTCCGATAAAATGGAATCAGACGCGTAGCGGAAGAAACGAAAGAAGGGATTCCTGCACACGGGACTCTCCCTAGAAATTTATAATTCGAACCGCCTGTCGGCAGCTAATTTCCTGTTCGGAGAGGCGTGTCTACGGCCATAATACTTTCTCGCGGTTAACCTGGAAGATTGAAGATCTCCGATGATTCGGTCGAGAAAAACGAAGAAGGCGCGGAGAAAAAAGTAGAGAAAGAGAGACAGAAAAGGAAAGCTGCATGGACTCGAGATGTTTCCCTCTCTTCTCTTCGCACTTTTTTCGGAAATGGTGGTCGAAGCACTTCATCGGTCACAAAGCAGCTGCAGGCTACTCTAAGCTGTACGAAGAAATGATAATGAAATTACGAACGTCGCCGCAGCCGTTAAGAAGAGCGGCACTTAGCAGTCCCTTTATTTATTACTTTCGAAGTGAGTTGCGTCTACATATTCCATCCTTTCTCTTCCCTATGCAATAATTAATGCATCGGCAATTTTAATTAACAAAATACTTTAGGTGCGATAATTAAGTGCATCTCAATTAGCTATCAATGCATAATTTTTCACCTTTTTACTATATTGTGTTTTACAACTCTTACAGCAATCTAATACTAGCCAATAATGAAAGACAGTAATTAATTACATATTTTAAGTTTTAAGAAAGCACAGTTGTTGTTCGGTACTTTTTAGTACTGAATAAGTAATTATATAGTCCAAATAAGTTAAATTAATTACTGTCTTTCGGTAATAAAATTGACTAATTAAATAATTGATCCGTATTAGATTTCTGTAAGAGAAGTTCTGTCAAAAATATAAAAATGATTCAAAATGACTTTATTTTGACCTCATAAAATGCTTGTTTTTGGTTACAAAATTTGTTTGTTAATGTTAAGAATAAGGTCATTTTGATTTTTTATTGACTTTTATGTGTTTCTTGGGTTATTATTCGAAGAATGGGATTTTTAAGGCGTCATAACGAAACTGGTACAAAAATATCGAAATTTTATACTGTTTAAAATTCTATATAAATACCCGGATACTCTTGCATAGAAGAATTAAAATAACTTATTGTTAGAAGAAAGGCGTAAATGAGTGTCTCGATGCGTGGTACAATTCTAATGATTCTGATATTGACAGCTTAATTAAGTTGTGATCTTTTAATTAAGCAAAAATGATACTCGCTGTTGATTAAATA